TGTTGTTTTTCTTGAGAACACTTAAATGATGGCATCGCCTGGCTTGTGGTGCTTTGTGATGGTGGTGCTTTGTGGTGGGAGAACTTCAGACCAAAAGATAATGTGAACATTGCAAGGACCACAACAGGAAAAGCACGATGCCTGTTTGCATGCACTAGCAAATCTTTCAAAGGAATCAGGATGAAAACAAAATAAAGACTGCCAGACACGAGCAGCAGTATCAACTGTTCTGGATTTTTACAGAGACATTTTTAAAGGGAGCTGGCTGAAACTCTGAGGTAATGCTCACTGTCATGCAGGTGCTTGCAGCTTCAAGAAATAATCTCCCTCTGCTGCTCCAGATGAAAATAATAATGATTTTTTTACATTCCCGTTCTATGAAATTTGTCAGCCTTTAACACCGTTCATAGTTATCCTTAAGCAGGGATAACTCTATAGGTCTGTCAACATGCCAGAGTGAAAAATACAGCATCCATTCCAGTGTAAGCATCGCATTAAAACTGAAAAGATACGGCGGAACCAGCTCTTTTCAGCGCTGTTGGTCTGAGCAGATGCAGCAGTGGGACATGTTTATAACAGCTTTGGTGTTCTTTCATTTACATTACAAAGAAATGCCTCTGGCAGAAAGACAGTGTAAGCAGTATTCATTATTCCTTGAAGGCTCTTGATAATTCAGTATGTTAATATACCACAAGCTACTCATGCCAACAACCAGCCACCAAGATGTAAATTAAACCTTGTTCCAGGATGAGTATTCCTTTATGCAGTTTTGAGAATTAATGGGGATCGGAGCTTAGATCATGAGGCAAAAGCTAGTGATGGCTGATATGTTTGTGGGCCAGAGAAAAAGCATCAGGAACTGAATAAAACCTGTGAAAGAAGCTGTGATTCACATGCTGGGTATGTAAACAATGAAAAATGAGAAAACTGTTTCGAACTGACAAAATCCTCAAGAGAAATCCTCCAGCGCATCTCTGAAGCCTGGCCAAGATACAGAAAGGAGACGTGGGCTTTTCGTGTACCTATAGACATCTACCATCTGGGCACTGTGCCTATAACCAGTTGTTCCCCTTACAATCAGTGGAGAAAAAATGAAATTTTTAGGTGATGATTCACTTCATCCTAACCTAGATATTTAAACTAGGTAAGATAAAGAGCCTCTTTCTTTGCCTTCTTTGCAAAAGAAGATCAACTGAATTTCTCACACGTAGACATCAAGACTAAAGTTGTCCAAAGTTAGCCAAGAAGAAATCCATCTTCTGTGCCGGGACATATTAGCAGACGTCAGTAGGCTGGACTTGCTCTGCAAGGCCGTCTGGCAGTGGCTGCCGAGGGCGCTGGCGTCGAGGAGCCGGGTCCTGCGCTGCAGCGGTGTCGCGCGGCGGTCACAGCAGCCCTCTCAGCGCCCAGCTCTGCTGCGATGGAGTAGCTGGCCAGTCTCCACACACTCCCTCCATGGGGAATGCGGAAAGGGAGACCCCCTCACCAGGAGAGCCAGAACCGTGAGGTAACTTTGGTGCTTTGCGGGTGCACGTGTACTAACGCTTGGAATAGAAGTGTTCTTTTGAAGCAGACTTCCCAGATCTCCCCCACCTACCGGAATTTGGTTCCCATTGTTGATTCACTCATTCTCAGAGCATATGAACTTTTCTTTTTTTTTTCCTTTTGATAAACTTAACTGAAAGATGAACTGCACAAGGGCTGCTAATACATCTACCTGCAATGGGCATTCAGTCTGCGAGACCAGGTTAGGACTTGTCTGGGGAGAAAAAAGAAGGAAAAAAAAACCCTAAAATGTTAATGTGTGATTGTCAGCATTGATTATTTTGCTCTGCCGGTCTGCTATTAGTTTGCTGTAATTGCTTATCTAAACTTAACTTGAATAGCCCATGGAAGAGCCCCTTGCTCCATTGACTATGGGAGTTGCTTAGGAAGACCAGACAGATAAGTCAGCCTACTGAAAAGTAAGGAATCACAGAATCTCAGAATGCTTAGGGTTGGAAGGATCTAGAGATCATCTAGTCCAACCCCCCTGCACGCACAGCGACACCTAGAGCACGTGGCACAGGGTGGCGTCCAGGCAGGTTTGGAAGATCTCCAGAGAAGGAGACTCCACAACCTCTCTGGGCAGCCTGTTCCAGGGCTCTGTCACCCTCACAGGAAAGAAGTTTTCCCTCACATTCAGGTGGAACTTCCTGTGTTTCAGTTTGTAGCCATTGCCTTTTGATCTGTGATTTGGATATCACTAGAATTAGTGTGGCCCCAGCTTCTTGACACTCTCCCTTAAGTTGTTTTTACATGCCAATAGGATCCCCTCTCAGTCTTCTCTTCTCTAGACTAAACAGCCCCAGCTCTCTCAGCCTCTCCTTAAATGAGAGACGCTGCAGTCCCCTAGTCATCTTCATAGCCCGTCATAGAATAACCATTGAAAAGATTCTACAGCACTTTTGCCAAATTCAAAGTTAAAATAAAGGAAACATCCATTAAGCATAAGATGAAACAAGTTCTGTACAAGACCTGAGTAGTGAATTAACTGAAAATACAAAATGCCTGCTGATATCCCATTGCTCTTCTAGGTTTCCTAAGTAAGCAGATCTGTCTGATACTGCTGGTAATCTGAAAATACAGCTCCTCATGGGATTTCACTAATAGCAAGCAGTACAGCTCTAGGACTTCATCCGAGCAAGGGCTTCTTCAAGGACTAACTATAAAGGTATTACCTGGAGGTTATATGTCTGCAAAAGAGCAATGCAAACAGCAAAACAATGCATGCAGCCCCTTTCCATGCTATTGGCCTAGCTGAGTGCACCAGTCACTCCAGTGAGAAGTAACTCTGCGCACCGATAAGAAGTTACTGCATCGTTGCCAGCGTCCGAACATGGAAGAAAATATTTAGCTTAAAACATGAAACTGCAAGGTGGCAGAAGCGCCTGGTGAGAAGCATCCTGCCTGACAGGCAGAACTGGGCTCGTCCGAGGTGCTCTGAAGCATACTGGAGTCTGCTGAAGACATTCCTGAATACCAACTGACTTGGGGTCAAACTTTTGGGAAAGTTTGGGCAGCAGTTTGGGCAACTGCTGTAAGGTATTTTTACAAGTCTTGCTTCAGATGAGATTATCTAAGAGTGTCTTCATTGCTTCACAGGCTTTAAGATCTTCCTCATGCAATGTATTTGCTATTGCATAGCTTTAAGGAAGTTAAAAAGCCCTTACCTTTCCTGTAAAGAAATGTATTATTCATTCTCAGGAAAAAAAGTTACATATTTTACATTCTTAGTTTTTAATCATTTTGATTTAAAAAGCTAGATTGGCACATTTCTGCACGTTCATTTTTTTAAGGCTAGTAAACCGCTTCAGGCAGCCTTCACAGTTCAGGCTCAGTACGTGGTTAAATCTGAGCTTCCTCAGGAAGGCTCCTCAGGCTCCTCTAACAAAAAAATTAGCAGAACTGCCACCAAAGTATCAAACTTATGTATTTTTTAAAACAAACATATGTACTTTTTAAAAGTACATATGAACCAGGATATCTTATCAGTTGTTTGCTCTGTAAAACAGATGTATAATGGAAAAAATATACATAAAATGATGTCAATCTCTACACTTGCAAACATTCAGACTTTATTGTGGTAGTTTTCCGAGACTGTGTTTGTACTTTGTTGTTTTTAGTGCTACGATCTGTACTTCTTCATTATTGCATGCTATGCTCAAACTAAAGAGACACAATTCAATACTTAATAGCTAATGTTCTCTAAAAACTAAAATAGCAGTCCTTGTGACTCTGTTCAAAATACCCCTACTTCCACTCAAATAAAATGGGATGGGAGGTCACTACAATTTCAGCTTCTCTGCATGGCAAAAGGCAACACAGACAATTCTGGTTGTCTGTGGGCGTCTCTGCATATAACATGGTTTAATACACTGTTGTGATACTGCTTCTTTATTCTCTAACTCTCCCCATTCATTTGCAAAGGAGGTGCACATTAAAATAACTAAGCATTATTGTGTTGAAGAGGTTCTTTCCTCAAAGAATGAAGAAGACCAGCAAAGTAATGCCATGTAACTTCAGAAGTAAATATGAATTTACAGCCTTCTCCATGCCTATCTTTCATAACAGCAGCATCAATCTTGTTCTGCTTGTAAATTAGCCTGTACATTGTCCCAATGGGGGACTTACTGTTGCAGGCCTTGGACAAAGCCAACCCGAGCTACCTTCCTGCCCTTGAGTAACTCACCTGAGAGATCAGCTTGTGTAAGCATTGCCGCAGGAGTCAGGTAGGGCATGTGAGTACAGTAGCAGTGTCTTCACCCGCCAGTATGCTTGTAAAATTAGCTCTAAATTAAGACGAAATGCAACAAAGTGATGTGACAACTGAACACTGGGAGCGTGGGAGGGCAGGTGCGATGAGTGACACAGAAAAATGCTGTGTTGTCACTTTGGTGGGCAGGACGTGGGGATGGGTCGCAGTTTCTTGGGTCCAGAGTTTCCTTCGGGCGCCCATGAGGCATCAGCAAAGGGGGTGCCGGGCACAGCTCCCTGCCTGCAGCACGGGCAGTGCCCGCCAGCGCCGGAGCCCAGCGCTGAGGGCTGGAGGAGCTCTCCAGCTGCAGGCGGGTTTGCTCGCTGCCAAGGGAAAATGTTTGCGTGAAGGCTGACACCACGGCAAGGCCCATAAAGTACCTCGACCCTCTGCCGCTGAGGTGGCTCGGGGTGTACCTGTTCCTGCTAACTGACTCACTGGGTACACAAGTTAAGATATAGTGATGATGTGACATGCATGAAAAGGCACTCAACATGAGAATAAAGCATTGGCAATACATTGTATTTACATGCAATTGAGTGCACGCTGTGCAGGATCTCTGCCTGCTTGCCCCAGACGCTGAGAGCTAGATTTCCTCTGCTGCCAAATCAAACTCTGTGTCCTTAGGGATTTGTTAACTGTGCACACATCTACAGCGATTCCTCAAACACTAGTCAAGAGCTGGTTTGATGCCTATACTCACTGAAACGGGAGTGCGCAACATTTGCAAGGCTCTGGACACCCATATTAAGGCACCAGTCTCAAACAGAATCCTGCCGACATAGCCAGAGTATTTTTGGCAATTGAATTCTGTAAGACGAACAATAAGAAACATCATTGTCCAGGCTTTACCTTCCCCTTGGCTTGAAGGGTTGTGGCAACTAGTAGTGAGTTATTCACAGAAAAAAAATGTAAATAGGTATCACACAAAAAATAACAAGCTTCCTTACTTTTTAGAAATTTTACAAAATTTCTAAAATTTATTCCTCCTTTCCTTTTATCCACGCTCAATGGCAGTTGTGTTTATGCAGTACCTCTCCACTGAAATCGTCCGCTGTCATAAAGCCTTAAAAATTCAACTATAGTTAGAAAGCTGCTATGCTGAGCCTGGCACCAACCTGACCCTGGCTGACTGTTTGTATTCCCCCATGCATCTATACCATCTGCTATTTTCCTTCCGTTGTGCCAAGATTATCCATCATTTGGGGCAAGGGAATGCCTTTTATTTTGTGGCTGTCCAGGGCTAAAGGAATAGCTACTAGAGGAATACAAATCATCAGTACCACAGTGTCTGCAATGATTTATGCTCCCCTAAAGCTTGGCAGTCCTGCATTAAGACTTGAAATCCTTGCAGGCGTTTCTGAAGAGGTGTGCGCTTTTTTAACGCTTGAGCCTCCAATTGTTGGTGAAAATGATTTAGGATAATCAATCTTTTAAGCCCTAAGCATCAATATACTCAGCAGGGACCAGGACCACTAATGATTTTCTCCTGATGAGCAGTGGGTGCTCTTGCCAACCCAGGGCAGCGAAGGTAAAGTGGCGGCAATTACGTGCGGGAGGAACGGAGCCCAGCGCAACCCGGCGGGCAGGGTTTGTTTGCAGGTTGAGCAGGCGGAGCAGGAAACAGTGCGAGGCAAATGCGATAGATGTCACCTCCATTTCCAAAGCTTTCGCCTGGTATTTGTGAGTAATTGCATCTAATAATTCCACCAGGAGGAATCTTTGAGGAATAGCTCAGATTAAGGAAAGTGCCGTATCTATGGTAACCGAGCAAACAGGTAGAGGAAGCAAAGCTGAAACGCTGCTCTGGGCCCTGCACACGGGTGTTAACTAAACTGAAAACCTAATTTTAGCTTTCCGAAGTACAGCCACCCACGTTCCCTATTTATAGTATGTGTATATATATACATATATATATATGTACACACGTGCACATATATATATAGCAGGATGGGGGAAAAGCAAAGGCAACACAGAACACCTCTCCCTAGGGAACTTGGGCTCCCACAAAGGGGAAATGGGTGTCTTCATTTTCCCCCGAGGATTTCTGAAGAAGTACAAGCAGCTCCCTATAAGGGTATGTCTATATTGCAGCATTAGGCCATGGTGCAACCCTTCTAGACAACCTTAAGGCCAGTGAGTGTAAGTACCAATAACAGCAGCAACACAGAAGTTGCCCCACTGCAGAACCAGGTGAGCATTTAAGCACGTTGTCCTTGGCATAAAATGGCTACATAGTTGCCGAGATAACTATTGAAATCAGGTGGGGATGGATCAACGGATGCTCTGTGTGCTGGGATGTGCAGGCAGGGCTGGCTGCGTGCAGGGCTGCCCCTGGGGCTGAGGCCGATGCGGCCAAGAGACCCTGGAGATCAGCCTAGGACAGGCCACAGGAACGCTCGCACAGCACTCACAAACATGACGCAGAACTTAATGGAAACTCTGGAGCAGCAGCTGGAGACCAGGCAGGATATCTAGGAAATAAATGGGGAACAATGCTTAGGGATCTGAATGGAGCCCATTGACTCTTGTGGCTTGTGCTGGCTGCTGCTGCAGAGTCAAAGCATTTGGCAAGAAAATAAGCTGTATCTGTTTCCATCCGCCTGTTTCCAAGGCAGGGCACACAGCTTAGTCTTCTTTTTCTTTTTTTTTCTTTAAAGTCTTTCAGGACATTAGCAGGCTGCTTCACTTCAGTTCAAACGGGGATGGCCGATGGGGCACCAGTTTCCTTTTGGATCAGAAGCAGCCAGACAGGCTGAGGGCAGCAGATGCCTGCTGTGAACAAGTGAATCAGTCCCAAAAATATGTTCAGCTCATAGGCAAGATGTGTATCGTTTTAATATTTATCTTAAAGATACAAGACTTAAATCATTTTCATTGCAAAAATGAAGACAAATCAATATGCCTCTAGCTTTAGGGCACAGAGGGCTTCAATTTCTAGGTTCTTGCAGCACAGTCATGTCTGAACTGGGTTGTAATACAAGCAAAATAATGGGAATTCAAACCCAATTTCTTTCCAACGATGAAAATAAAATTACTTTTTTTTTTTCAAACCAGTGTGCAAGCATCCTAGACTCATGCAGGAAGGAAACTTTTTTCTGGGATACAAGTAACTAAAAATTTAAGGAAAAATTTCAGAGTAAGGAAAAAGTCACTACAGATGCTAGTATGAAGCTTCATCTTAACCACTGGAGCCCAAGAAAAATGAATCACAGTAACTCTCTCATCTTGAGAAATTTATATATCTTATAATCCCCAAAGGAAACAATCACATCTGATAAAAATATTTAGACTAAACTTAGAAAGTAACAATAAAGCTGGCAGAATTGCCTGAAATTCATATTTTAGGACAGAGTTATTAGAAAGTCAGTATAACGTGCATCTTAATCATACTCATCATGTACCTATTTGCAGTAAATTCTAACAACTGTAGTTTTATGCACCTCTGTAGACTTTATTTTATTGCTTACTTGCTTAGTAAATTTAAAGACAGTACATTGGCAATATGTCTAGTGTGTCTATCTGGAAAAGGTAACTCACTTTACCATTTCCAGTGCTTGGAACCAAATGCATGGCTTTGCAAAGTTCAAATCATTGTTCAAATCATTAAAAAGATCTTTCTTCAGACTATCCTTTTTTAGTCCTGGTGCACTCATCTGAATAATTCTGGCTGGAAGTTTGCTAAGAAGTTTTAATCAATGGTAGGCAAAATCTTAATGCAGGAATCAGTGATAAAGCTCTGATCCTCATCACTTCCAATATTAATTTCAAGAATATCTGTGAATATGAGTTAAACAAAAAGTATATGTATATATGTATTATGAGGTAATAATTTGGCACTACTGTGTAAAAAAAAATGTAGTGAACAAATAAAGTTAGGAGTGAAACTGATGATTACCCAAGAATTATTTTCTGTCAAATTCTAGTAAATACCTAGCGAGCTTCTCCATGACTTTTCTAGGAAAAAGAGACCACTAAAAGCTTATTACAAAGCTTGTTTTTTACCTTTTGGTATTCAAATAGTAAGTAAAAGGCTTTGCAAATATATTTGGTATCTTAAGCTTTTCTGTTACTAGCAATTTAAACAAATCATGTAGAGGTTAAGAATCTCTAAATCCCCAAATCCCTTGAACCCTCCAGTTCCCCCTGGAAAAGTCTGCTAAACCTGGATTTCTTCCCAATCCCGCTTGCTAAGGATGAATAGCACTGGCGCTGCCAGAGCAGGATATGAGAAGACAGGCAGCAGCTTCCATCAGGCACCCTGAAGACCCGTGTCAGATGTCACCAAAGTTTCCAAGCTATTTCACAGAGTTTCAGCAAGCAAAGGGAAAGATTAATTCAGTGTTTTGAAATTAAACATTCAATTCTCATTGTAATTAGTAGTAAAACGGGATGGAGAATTTACGTGAAGTCTGACAACGGGTTTTTACAGCGTCAGCAACACACGATAAATTATTTTTAAAGGACAGTTATTATTTCAAATGTTCAAAAGCTTCTGACAGGGGACTAATTCATAACATATGATTGCTGGGCCTAGTAAGATGGGTACCATTGTCTCTAAAACTCTCAATTATTGTGAAGACACATTATGGTTTCTGCTATATTTAACACTACTTCATTATTTAAAAATACAACTTTGAAAGAAAGATGACAAGACCAAAATTTATTTGCCCTAGAGGGATAAGAATAAAAGGAAACAGTAAGAACTGTATATATATTCACAGAATAAAATAATGAAAGGAAGGGAAATATTTCCACTGGGAATTAGTGGTTTGGTATAAATGGCTAAAGCTAAAAAAGAAACAGTTTGAGCTCTGTATTAGGAAAAAAAGTGTTTCTGAAGACATGGATGATTGATAGCTGGATAGAAAGGACACTGTGATGGTTTTTCAAGTGAATCAAGGAGAAGAAAATCCAATGCTGCAGTGGAAAACAGCATTCTCCCCCCTCCTCACCTTCCTTCTAGGCAACTAAAGAGTTGTTTGTTTGTTGGTTTGTTTGCTTGTTTCTGTCCTTTCCAGCCTAATTTATGGTGATTTCCAAAGTCAAAGGTAAAGAGAAAGAGTTGGCCTTTGCATCTTCTCATGAGGCCCTAAAATAATTTGATTTGTTTAAAGATTGCAGGATTAGAAACTCTTGGGAGATTCTGTCCTCCAATTTTACCCACTTCATGGACAAAATTAACCAGCGGAGAAGATGCCTTAGCTTCTGGAAAGCTTTCAGGAAGGTGTTCAGGTAGATGAGGAAGGAAATGAAAACACAGTACGTGCAGCCAATGTGCAGCGTTGCTGCGCAAGACACTGAACGTGTATGAGAGGTGGGCAGAGTATCCTGCGTATCACAGATGCTACAGGAGCTCTCGAGGAGAAGGCTTTGAGAAGCCAGGCAAAGAGTCCTCGCTATGGATTATCAACTCAGTCCATAGGTGGGGGGAGACATTCCAGATGGGATGATATACTAAAGAAAGTCTAAGTTTTAACTTATATAGAAACATCTGCAGTTAGCTCTTGGAGGACCTGTTTGTATTTTGTTAGATGAACAGGATTTTACCTGCATATTCAGCTAAAGAATAATAATTGGGTTATTCTCTCATAAAAACAATACAACAAAATCAACTACTATATTTTATTCACTGCACAACGAGCAATGTCATTGCCTTTCCCAGTACATTTACCACAAGAGTACAGAGCCCCCTGCAAAAAGTCAGCATTTATGGAGAAATAATGCTCAAAAAATGTCCTGGAATGAACTGCAAACAAAGCAGAGTCTTGGCTTCTCTGGTCATACAAAGCAAAGGTCGTATTGTCCATTTGCCTCCTTCCAAAGTGCATGAAGAGCTCAGTGCTGTCCTGTAAAAGACAGGGCAAGAGGCCCTGTTGACACGGAATTTTACAATTGAAATGAAGGTAAGTAATGATTCTTGAAGAAATGATTCTTCATAGCTTTGCCCAGTAAGTAATGATTCTTGCACTCAAAAACAAACCCAAATTAGTGTTTGTGTTTCCTGGAGAAAAATAAAGCCCATGTATGCAAATAAATAAAGAAATAAATACAAGAAAAATACATTAAGCTAGAGAATAGCCACTGCTTATTCAAGGTCTTTTTTCAGTTCACTTATTTGATATGATCGAAGGCCTGTGGGAAAAAAGCAAATACTTGATACAGAGATTGTTAGACTTTTCCTCTTTTTTTTTTTTACAGTGCCCAGATTGTGGCTCAAGAAGGTTTAAATAAGAATTTGAGACAACCTTATGTAAATAAATAAAAAAAAAAGAAAACTAAGGAAAGAGCACTTCTCCAGCAGCAAACCCATGAGAGCATTCCTTACACTTTTTGTCCTCTGGCATAGTTTTGTTAAATTAGTGACAGCTCTCATGTAGACAAGGCCTACCTCTAAGTTTGGCTTGAGCTGTGGTCAGACAACTGCTAGAGAACTGACACAGGTGCCTTTGGTTTGTTTTATTTTGTTTTGTTTCATTTCATTTTGGTTTCAGGGGGTAAGGATGTTCCAGGTTTAAATAAGAATTTGAGACAACCTTTTCTAAATAAAGAAAAAAAAAAAAAGAAAAGAAAACTCTTCTGCTAGAGAACTGACACAGGTGCTTTTGTTTTGTTTTACTTTGTTTTGGTTTCAGGGGGTAAGGATGTTCCGGTGACCG